TGACGTCCCGTGACATCGAAGTGAAGGGCTTCCTCATCCCCAAGGTAGGACTGCGGCTTGGGCCAGGCTGGGAACACAGGTCACCTGTCCTAGCTTCCACGGGGAGGTCCTGCCCAGCCTGGGTGTGGGCTGCAGAGCAGGGGCAAGATGGGCCTGACTGCTCGGAGCCCCAGTCCAAGGAGAAGACAAAGCAGAACTTGCCCCAGAGGATCTGTCTCTGCAGGGGTGGGTGGTGGGGAGGGCGCCCATGGGATGGGCGACTCAGCCCTGCCTCCGGGTCAGAGACTTAGGAGAAGCTCCAGAGGCCCAGCGTTCCTTGATAGTGTTCGGATGAGTGCCAGGCAGAGCATGTGCCCCATTCCTCTGGTGGCAGGGGTCCCAGTATACTACACTCCCAGTCACCACTCAGGCTAGGCATCTCTTTCCCAGGGGACAACACTCTTCATCAACCTGTCATCAGTGCTGAAGGACGAGGCGGTCTGGGAGAAGCCCTTCCGCTTCCACCCCGAACACTTCCTGGACTCTCAGGGCCGCTTTGTGAAGCCTGAGGCCTTCTTGCCCTTCTCAGCAGGTGCCTGTGGGCTGCCCCACCCCCTGCCCTCTTCCTTGGAGTCTTTGGGGGGGTGAAGCCCAGGACCCAGGCTCACTGATTCCCCCTTGCCCGCCCACAGGCCGCCGCGCGTGCCTCGGGGAGCCCCTGGCCCGCATGGAGCTCTTCCTCTTCTTCACCTGCCTCCTGCAGCGCTTCAGCTTCTCCGTGCCTCCAGGGCACCCCCGGCCCAGCGACCACGGTGTCTGTCACTTCCTGGTTACCCCCTGCCCATACCAGCTTTGTGCTGTGCCCCGCTAGAGGCCCAAACCAAGCCCCAACCTTCTCTCCACCCAGGGGCCCTGATGTCCAATAAACCAACGTGCTTTGCCCACCTTGGCCCCCTGAACACGGCTGGCTGCCATGGGGCCTCACAGCCTCTTGGGGACAGTCCACACCACCTTATCCATCCTAGCCCTTTTGACAGATGGATTTGTTGCGGTTCAGAAGATGTCAGCCAACCTCCACCTGTACTTCAACGCCCTGACTGACTCAGCTGTGCCCAGACTGGTGACAAGGACTCTGTGGTCCTGCCTTATGGGGGAGGGGCCAGACTGGGCTGCCCAGAGGCGGTGGTCCGGACATGGGATGCAGAGGGCAGCACTCTGCCTGGAGAGCCACATTTCAGGCCCTGCTGGGCCCACTCGCCCACCTGCCAGCAGCCCTGCCAGCACCGTCCCGTTACCTCCCTTCACGTTTGACACCCCAAGAAGGGAGAGAAGTCCAGGAGGGTCACAAAGTGAAGTGCCAGGGTTACCAGCCACGGCTGAGTCATCAGGTGCCAGAACATTCTCTGGGAAGACCTGATGCAAGCCCAGGGGTCAGCCACCTTCCAGAGCGTCTCAGTCACCCCACGATGGGAATGGCCAGCTTCCTTGACCCTCAGGGACGCTGTGTCCAGACCCTGAGCAGTGAGCAGTCACCACCGGGGCCAGGCTGGAGCCAGCAGATGACAGTTGTCTGAGCTGCAACCCACGGCGCCGTCCTCCCAGTGTCTGGGTCATGCAGGGCCCA